TACATTCACACAACATTTATATCCATGCCATGTGACTCAATGCAACTCATGCAATGTGGTACCAACACTTGTTATTATTTTTCGGTTTTTACATTTAAACTGGGTCCGTCCCCTAGACCAATAACAAACAAAAGGCCGTCCTCTAAGCTTTCAAACCCACCCTTCTAGGTTTGGGACAAGTTACTAGTCTCCACGAAACTAGTAAGCATTGTCTCTTGACAACAAATGATGCATATGCAATCAACAACAAATGCACTTAAGACCGTTCTCGCATCTTAATCCCATGCATTATCAAATAATTCATCACACAAGAATTATATCATGATTTCACACACAACACATTTCATCAAAGTATTTATACTTTCAACATCATCACTACATTCATCAAGTAGTATACAAGAATCAAATAGATTCATTCACAAATACAATCGCATACAATTAATATGCATTCACAACATCGTGCCAAACGACAACGAACCCTATCACAATCATTCGTACACTTTTAAATTAATTTAAACAATGTATATTTGCCAAAAGGCCACATTTCACAACCGATTTCACAATCTAAGATTCACGCCATACGGCTACCCACAACATAACATATCACAACATACAACTATGCATTCAAAAAGGTCGATCATAATCGAGCCAAACAATCAACATTGGATGGAAACACAACAAGAAATAATAATGCTGTCACGTTCGCTACACCACTCGCCTAGCGAGTCCTTGGCGAACACTCGCTACTGGTTCGCCTAGCGAACAAGCTCGCGAAGACAAACAAAAGCTATTGGAAGGATTCGCTACTAGCTCGCTGGAGCCTCGCCTAGCGAACAACTCGCTACGTCACTCGATACTAGCGAAAAGGATCATTTCCATTATGCCCAAGTCTGGGGCATTCGCTGGCAGCTCGCTACCAGCTTGCTTAGCGAATGCCCGCCACCCTGCTCGCCTAGCGAACGTGCTAGCGAGCGTCTGCGTACTCCAAAACCCCAACTGTCCAAAAACCTCATAAACTCCCGAAATCATCCGATTCAATTCCAACAAGTTCCAGTAGTCCTAGCCTAACATTCCTCGACTAAACTACACTATTAATTCAGGATTCTAACCGTTAAATCATCGATTCCTACCGATTAAACCATTTCTGACCTAGAATGGGAAAATATGGAAAACATCCAAACAATCCAAACACACACATACATAATCACACACATTGATAGAATAATAAGATTTCACACCCTTACCCGATTAATCGAACTCTAAAAGTTGTTCTTGATGATTTCAAGTTTTTCCTCTATTTCCTCCTCTTCTCTCTTCTTCCTTCTTTCTTTCTCTTCTTTTTCCTTTCTCTCTATTTCTATCCTTTTCTTTTCTCTTTTCTACTTATATCTCTTCTATTCTATTTCTCTCCAAACATCCACTAATCCATTTCTCACAAAATATCTCAACTTATCATTAAATCCTTAATGTCTAAAATACCCTTCACTCTATTTTCCCGAAAACTCTCAAAATCGGTAAAATAGCATAATATGCAAACATAACATATTAACACATAAATTTCACAATTAAAATATTAAACACCAAAATAAATCAAAAGACTCAACAAAATTGGGAAATCAGAATCGGGGCGTTACAGGCAGTGCTGGCTGAATCTCCCTTTGCAACGTGCTTGTACGCACATATATATATATATATATATATATATGTATATATATATATATATATATATATATATATATATATATATATATATATATATGTGTGTGTGTGTGTGTGTGTGTGTGTGTGTGTGTGTGTGTGTGTGTGTGTGTGTGTGCGCGTGCGTGCGTGCGTGCGTGCGTGCGTGCGTGCGTGTGTGTGTGTGTGTGTGTGTGTGAGACTTAGGGTTTCTCAAGCTGGTCTCTAAATACCACAATGCCCTTTGTACTATCTTTTTGTGAATAAAATGAATTTTAAAAAATTAAAATAAAAGGTAAACAAAATTTCTAATTATTTTTTATAAATATTTTGACTAAAAAATAAAAAATAAAATGTTTTAAAACAAATAAAAGTCGGACGGAAACATGTCCGAAAAATTAAATTGAATGCACTAAAATGATCAACATGAAACGAGCCTCTCAGAAAGATACAAGTTTTGAGCAAATTTTAAAATAAACATGTTTGGTTAGAATGCTTAGACAGACTAATCAAAATGCGATTGAAAAAGTAGTCCAAAAAAATAAAATGAACATGTCAGGTTAAACTATGTGAACCGTAGATCAATAAATTTGACGCCTGTAAACTCGATTTTGAAAATTTTTGCCCGCTAATTTCATATATATTTGAGAATCAATTCAACCGGTTTATCTGTTGATTCGAAAATTTATTTTAATCGATATTTTTGATATTAAACAGTATGAAATGCTTGTTATGCTATGCGGATGGTGCAAAATTTATGATAAATGTATTAATTTATTAAATGAAAAACAAATTTAGAGTATATTAATGGAAAGAACCATTCTCTTCTTTTTTTTCTAATTTTTTTGTTAGATCCATTTAGGTTAAATGATCCAATTGCTTAGTTACCATGTTTTTAGGCCCTATATATTATAGGTTTTCATTTCTGTAATTTTCATTTTTTTTTAATTAATAAAATAAAATAAAAATTCTGAGTTGATCCATTACTTTTTTTAACTTAGCGGCTACTATATTATTCCTATCCTATATTATTGCTATCCAATATGTTGTTTTTGAAGTCTTCCTCATTGAAAGTATTTTTAATGTTTTTTTTTAATCTTTTTTTATTTTACATGACAAATGTTTAAATCAATGTTTTCAAAATTGAAACGAACGGATCCGTTTAATTTGTTGGACTGAAAATTAAAGTTAATTTTAGTCTGATTAATCTTTTAAAATTATTAGTGGATGAAAATTAAAATAAAATTGAAAAAATCAGATTAAACCGTTCAAAATCGTTCGAACTAAAGAATCAAAGCCGATTTTATAAAACTGTTTGGTTCAAAAAATGTATCAAACACGTCATTTTTTTATTTTTTATAAAAAGTCTAATATATATTAATATCAAAACTTAAAACATTTTTCAATTAAAAAAATATTTTTTTATTTGTGGTCGTTGAACTCGAATTTTCTTATTATTTGTTCAATTAAGTATGTTGTATTATTTATTTTTTAAATTCTATCTCATTTAATTTAAATATTCTTAATTATTTAAATTTTATTTTAATTATTATGCTTATTATTTTAGTTTTGCTTTGAATTATTTTTATTTTTTATTTTAATTCTTTAATTTGTTCAAATAATTTTTAAATAAAAATTAAAATTAAGTGTACAACTATGTTGTATTATTGATATTATTGTTTTAAATTTATAATTGATTTTTAAAATATTTATTTTATTAAGTTTAAATATATAATTGTGTGCGATATATTTATAAATGTTAATTTATATTATTATTTTATTTAATAAACTATTAAATCGTAAATTTAACCGGTTAAACGTTAATTCAAATATTTCACCAGTTTAATCTTCAAAGTTTGATTTTTAAAACATTGATTCAAAGGTAATGATTTGATCCTTATTTTGATTTGATATGTTTTACTAATTGTGCTCCATTCTAATTTTGCTCCACTTTTAACATTAAAAATATAAAATTTACAAAGTTTGGACATGGAGTATACTATGAGAGAGGTGAGAGAACAAAATCAAAAAAGATTTCTTAGCATAATAAATCTAGCGGAAATCACGAACACCACTATAGAATTTTGAAATTTTCGAAGAATTATTGGTATTTGCATGTGCTTTCTATATTTATACACTATTCGCCAGTTAAGCATGCATGTGATAAAAATACAAAAAGTATCAACCCCTACAAATTAGGGGAATCTGTCTTATTCATATATGCAACAGAACTAAAGACATGATTACACAGAACTAGTGAATGATTGCCATTGATTAATGTGAATAATATATACATGTGCAAACTTAACCTTTAGTAATAGTAGCATAACACAGGTTGCTACTATTAGCTGCAATGCAACACTATCACTAATTATTTAAATAAATTGATCTTATACTTGTTTTCTCTAGTCAATTAAAATTGACTCAGTTGCTAAATATTTGATTCATAATAGTGGGTTTAAAACTTTTGCCTTTAACGTGACCATTTTTTTAAAGCAAAAATATTCATTATAATAGAGTATATAGAATATTCAACCAACCATCATTACAATAAGATCACAATAGTTTACAAAGATGGTTGAAAGTACAAAATTATACAATCTAAACAAGTTATGTTAGTGATAGAGAAAATCTAATGGTGCTTTGCACCATTTATAGAAGCTACAACAATATGATTTTTGAAGAAGGAAAATTAAAGTCAAAAAATGAATTTAATGTTAAATTCAATGTCTTTAGCATGAAATTAGAATTTTTTTTAAATAACGGCGTTCTGCTTGCACCAAATACACCAATAAACTATCATCCATAAAAAACCTTCAATGTGTTTTCCAACCTTACCTTTGAATGTTTCTAAAGCTTGGCAAAAGTCCATAGTGCAATCAATAGAAATTTGCTTATCCAATCCAATCTAATCCCAAAACAGAATACAAACTTTCTGAGTAAAAGCACAATGTAGCATGACATATTCCAATGTTTCTTCTACAACTTTGCAAAACACACAATGTGGAATCATGGATGATCTTCCTCTTGAAAAGTTGTTGCCTAGTTAGAAGTTTATTATGTAGCCTTCTCTAACAAAAAGCCTTGACTTTGGATGAAACTTTCATCTTCCACAACCTCTTCCACATAGAATTCAAGGTGGTAACTCTATTCATAGACATTCCCTGGCCCCTTAAGGATTCATAATAGCATTTGACAGAAAAATAATGAGATGGAGCAGCCACCCAAATGTTGCTTGGATAGAACTCTGTCAATATTGTGTTTAAGTGCAGTAGCTCTTCTGTAATTGGTTGATCTGCAATATTCAGGCCTTCATCAGACTTTCAATGCCATGATCTTTGAAGCCAATCCCCCATGCCACTGACCATGGCCTTAGTGTTAGCAGTGTGACAATATAAGAGTGGAAAAATCTCTTCTAAGGGATTTGAGCCAAACGAAATCCCTTTCCAAAAGGGAGTTGAGTAACCATTGCCAAGTTTGAATTTAGCAATGTGTCTAATTCCAGTTTTATCAATGTTAAAGCTCTTCATATTCAGTCCAATGGCATTGAGGTCCCTACACCAAAGAGATTGCTTAGAAGGGTGATGTTTATTTTCATCAAGCCACATGCTCCTTATTAAGTTTCCATATCTGAGTTGAATCATGTCACTCCATATAGCTTCCTTATCATTTAGGATCCTCCATATCCACTTACGTAATAGTGCCTTATTGAATATGCTAATATCTTTGACCCCAAGTCCTCCCTTAGATTTTGGTTTGCACACTATCTTCCAGCTTATCCAATTCACTCCCTTGCCTTCCTTCAATCCAAACCATAGAAATTGTCTTTGAATTCTAATGATTTCTCTCCTTACTTTATCAAGCATCTTGTAAAATAAGATATGATGAATAGGTAAATTATTTAGCACAACATTGAATAATGCTATTCTCCCTTCCATTGATAAGAATCTACTCTTCCAGCATGACAACTTGCTTTTCATGTTAGTATAACTTGCTTCCAAACTGTAATTCTTCTTAGATTAGTGCCCACCATGATCCCTAAAAATTTGAAGGGAATGTTGTCTATGCTACAAAATAGGAAGTTAGAGGTAACAAGCAAAAAGAGAGGAGATTAACCAATGTCATAAAGCTTGATCTTGTTCATATTAACTCTCAGGCTAGACACTAGCTCAAAAGCTCTCAATATAGACTTAATGGCCCATATGTTACTCAAAGAACCATCACCAATAACGATCATGTCATCTGCAAATTGCAAAAGACCAAAAGAAACTACATTCATGGCTGTCTGCATCTTGAATTCTTTAAATAGATTGGTGAATGTAGCCTTCCTTGTTATGCCTGCTAGCCCTTCAACAACAATGGCAAAGAGGAAGGGTGAAACTGGATCACCTTGTCTCAATCCCCTTGAAGCAACAAAATATTTGGTTGGACTTCCATTGATTAGGATGAACATGTTGCTATTAAAAACCCCTCCTTCCATTCAAGCAATCCATTTCTTTCCAAATCCCATTCTATTGAGCATGTACTTCAAGAAATCCCAACATACATTATCATAAGCATGGGCAATATCCACCTTGAATAATAGGCATTCCTTCTTATATCTCTTTGCATAATCAATCACTTCATTAGTGACCAATACATCATCAAGTATTTGTCTACCTGGAATGAAACCAGTTTGAGAATTGGACACTAACCTACCAATGAAATTCCTGATCCTCTTTGCCAAGATCTTATACACAATTTTGTACAAGCTCCCTATTAAAAAAATTGGCCTATAATCTTCAATATTTTGGGGGTTTAAGGCCTTTGGTATGAGGGACAAAACTGAAGCAGTCACAACTTTTGGAAGGTGTGCAGTAGTATGAAATTCTTGTATGACCCCAATGACATCCTCGCCTAAAATGTCCCAACACTTCTTAAGGAAGGGGATGTTAAAGCCATCAGGACCAAGGCTTTTGTCTCCATCACACTCCCATATGACTTCTTTGATTTCCTCCCTAGAAAAGGCTTCTCCTAATTTGGTACTCTCAACTTCACTCAAGCAATTGAACTTTATACCATCCAAAGATGGTCTTATGCCTCCTTGTTCAGTAAATCTGTTTTTAAAATGGTCTTTTGCCACAGCCTTTACTAAGTCTGCCTCCTCCACTCTCCCACTGTCAATTTCAAAAGCTGTTATTCTATTTCTCCTCCTTCTCGTATTCAACATACCATGGAAGAATCTTGTATTTAGGCCCCCCTTCCTTAATCCATGTCTGTCTAGATTTTTATTTCAATAGGCTTTCTTTCATATGTAAATTGATCCACATCTGATTTTGCACCTTCTTCCTTTATGCTATGATGGCCAGACCAGTTGAGTGATCAATAATGCCATCAATAGTTTTAAGTTCCTCCACACATTTCTCAATCTTAAGATCAAGTATTCTAAAAACATCTATGTTCCACTCCTTTCTGCTCAATTTTAATAATTTAAGTTTTTTCCTTCATAAAGAAAGCTTTCTTCCCTTCAATATGATAAGACTTCTATTGGTTTTCCACAAAGGCCAAGAATTGATTGTGAACAAATCAACAATTGTTTGACCTAAATGGAATAGGCCCCCAGTTAATATGACTTCCTCTAATCCATATTAGACAATGATCATATATGTCCCTTCAACCAATTTCTTAAGCTACAAGGTTCCAAGACTCAATGATTTTCTTTAATGTGTAATATGTAAATATCTGGTATTGTTTAATTTTTTTAATAGAATTTAAAATATTATTCCTAAATGGTTCTGATGTATTAATAATAAATATTTTTAGATTGAAAACACATACCAATTAATCTCTTGTTTGATAATACAACATATTTAAGTTTTTTATATATAAAATAAATTTTTCTATGTAGGTTTTATCTATTCAACTAATATTGTAATTTACTGTAATCACATTATTCTACCTAAATTACTCCTTGTTTTCATATTGTCTTTAGGGCTATGGTCGCTGCATGATAATATGTACCAGGAAAAACTAAACCAATAATAAATATAAGGCTTAAATGCACTTGGTCCTTGTAATTTAGCGAGTTTTTGAGTTTAGTCCCTGTAAATTTTATTTTTTGGTCTGGGTCCCTATATCTCACTTTTTGTGTGCATTTTAGTCCCTAAAGCCAAAGTTCACAGGAAAATCTGAAGGAAAATTAGCAGGAAATCTGCGGATTTTGCCTTTAGGAACTAAACCACACGCAAAAAGTGAGATATAGGGACTCAGACCAAAAACATAAATTTAAGGGACCAAATTCAAAAACTTCCTATGGTATAATAATACTTCTTATAGGGACCAACATACTATTTAAGCCTAAATATAATAGTACTGTTAATTAACTAAATTGACACGTAACTTAGGTCTGAAGAATGGTTGTGTGTAAGACTGGAAAAATAATCGTGGTCTAGTCCAAACTGAAATAAATCAAAAAAAAAAATGGATGCGTTAAATTGGGCCCTCTCTTTAACGTTCCAAAAAAATGGGGAGGTTTATTTTTCCACCCTTATGGTATGACTCGTATCTTAAAAAACTCAAAATTGTCCTCTGATACTTTCGAAGATGCACCTTAAATCACCGCATTCTGGGTAAATCAAGAAGCCACCCCATTTTTGCCAAAAATTCGTCCGGAGATTCATCTGCAAAATTTTCTTGGGTGAATTTGAATATGCATCTCCGAAAATAACCCTAAACCCATTTACTATGTGTTTTCTTAAGCTGGTGTATTTAACCATTCAGTGACATTTTCGGAGATGTATATCCGAAAAATGTCAAGCAGGAAATTGAATATGTCACCACCTTGCATGATCATCTCTCCCACACTCCATAACCCAAAACTATTAAATGAAAAAAATTCATTCTCACTCAATTTTTCGACTCTAAATCACCATTCTTATGTTTTATCACATCTAAGGAAGCAAAATAATATGAAATTTAAGGTAAAGTCCACTTATTTCATCCCTTATTGCTTACATTAATGTTGTTGTTGAGCTGGAAAAAAATGAACGTTAAGTTCGGTTGTGCATCTCCAAATTTACCTTTTCATTTTTCGAATGTGCATGTCCAAATTTTCCTGCTACTGTGAATTTTTAAACCATTTTTATGTTTTTGTTCTATTAGATATGGTGCACCTAGATATGTTTCCCAAAGCTTTTGTAAGTAATGATGTAAAATCGGATGTAGTGAAGGATGATACTAAACTGGATGAAGTGAAAAATGATGTTAAATAGGTTGTTGTCGAGATAGATGTTGGTCAACATTTTAGAAATGGACAACTATTTACTGATCATGAACATATGCTTCAATGGGTCCGCATGGAGACTAGGAAATTGGGGTTTGGCATTGTAATCAAAAGGTCAAACAATGGTTCAAATAGAAGGCAAACATTTGCAACCATGAGATATGAGACAAGTGACATGTACGTTCCACCGATTCATAATTTGAAACCTGATGACACCAGATCGAAAAAATGTGAGAGTCCGTTTAAATTTCACAGATACTGTAAGGTGAATGATACATGGAAAATTAATGTGGTTTATGGTATACATAATCATGCCTTGCAATTTGAGCTAGTCGAACACCCCATCGTATGTTGCCTTAAACCGGAGGAGAATGAAACTGAGCGAGCTTGAAAGAGAATAAAATAAGGAATATTTGAAGGAGGAACCAAGAGGAGTTTTATTAAGGAGATCTTTCAGCCTTCGTGGAGTTGGATGGTGTCGTGGAGAGAATCGGATACCAAAACTATAGGATCATCTTGGAACGCAAAAATAAGATATCACCACCAAACTTTTATTTTTCTAAGGGAAAGGAGAAAAGATCGAACAAAAACCCTAAATAAACATGCAAAGAAAAAAGCAATGCCTAAAGCTAAGCAAAGAGATATCAAAGGTACGAGGGTTGGTTATACTAAGGGAAAGTGCTAGCACCCTAAGCATCTCTAGTACTCTACAAGAACCTCTTGAAATATTTGTGCTTTGGCTAAAACTGTTTGCTAAAGGGGAAAGATGGGCAAAGTTAAAAGAAAAGGGGAAAAAAGAAAAAGGTAGATCGCTAGGATCTCGTAATCCTACGCCTACGTATCCTTAATAAAAAGTCAGAGTAATCATAGTTCGGAACTATGAGTTAGGTTTTAAGAACCAAGTACAACAGTAAAGATAGGTAAAGAAACAAACATTCAAGGAACTTGCACAATGATAATGAGTCAACATACAATCCCTTCCCTTTGATTAGGTCAACAAGGAATAGAAATAAGGAAACAAATACATGAAAAAACATCATGTAAATGAAATCAGACAAAGACACAGACATAACACATAGAAAAACATCATGTATAGTCAAACAGACTGGAGATTACAGAATACACATGGCAAAGCATCATGGTAATCAGACAATGAAAAGTCAATAGAGATACATGGAAAATAATCAGGTAGCAAAGTAAAAAATGCATGTGGCAAAACATCACAAATAATAAACAGACAAAAATACGTGGCAAAGCATCACGAATGATCATCAACAAACAAAAAGTACACGGAAAACATCGTGTAAGCAAAAAGAATTAATGACATACATGAAAAAGCATCATGTAGAAGCAATAGAGGTATACAGTACATGGCAAGAACATCATATATGATACACACAAAATCAACAAACAGAAACTACACGGCAAAGCATCGTGTAGAAACAACATATAAGCAAACCCAAAGCATGGAAGCAATCAAGTCATTAAATAGAATCAGGCAACGGGAACTATTAATCAATTTAAATATTAATTAATAATTTAATTAGTCAATATTAAAAGAATATTTAACTTAATTAATAATTATAACATACCTTATTTTTTCACGTTTTTTCAAATATTCAACAAATAAATAATTAAGCTAGAAAAATGGAAATACTAAAAATAAAAGATTAAATTTTTGGTATCTTTCTAAATATTACAAATAAGTTAATTAAATTGAAATGATTTAAATAAAAAAAAACTTTATTTTTTGTTTTCTAGATATCATACAAAGAAACTTAAAATATAAATTTGTTTTGTTCTTATGACAAAACATTATTTAATGTGTTTAAAAAAAACTAAAACTAAGAGAATAATATTTACCACTTCTAGAAACTTAGTTTGAATAATAGCGGTAAAAAAAGAAAAATTAAAATAAAAGAAAGTAAAAGCACAATATCAAAAAAAGTGAAACTTTTTTCTTCTTCTCCTGCTGTGTGCTTCACTACTTTCCCTCGTGTCACTTTCCTTTTCTTGTGCGTGCAATGGTTGTTGTTGTTGATGGTTTGCGTTGGCGAGTTGCGTTGCTGTTTGAACTGAACCTAAAGCTGATGTTGTTGATCACAGTTGATGGTGGAGATCAAAAAGTGATGAAGGTCCTGGGAAAAATTAGTGGAGGTTTCGTGGAGGTGTTTCCGGAGTCGTGATTTTTG